CTAGGATCCCTTCACATGATTCTCTTGGTGATCCTCATGGCTCTGCCTTGCTTGTCTCAAGGTCTCACTTCAGGGGCAGCACTTCGCTGGTATTTGCACTGTATTGTTTGACTTCCCTTCATCATGCTGGCAGCTGGCAACAATCCTGAGGTTCTTACAAGTTTTCATTTCCAAAGTATGAGTTCCTTCCTTGTAGCTCAATTTCTGCTGCTAGTCCCCAAAGGCAGTATCTTCCTTAAGTACTACATAAATAAATGTTTAATATACTACGTATTAAGCCACTATACACAGATAGAGATTATTTAGGCTTGAGTCTCCCAACTGAATGCCTGAATTCAGAAATGAGGTGTACCCCATAAAGAGTCCCTCAAGAGATCTCTTTGCTAGGGATGTTCAGATTACTCCTAGTAAGTACCGACAGCTCTTCACGAACACAGTCACTTCTGAATTTGCCCAATTGTTTCTAAAATGTCAGATTGGTACAGCATTACAAATAGTTTTGGAACCTCTTACGGAACAGCATTCCTTCACCATAGTCAAAAAACCTCAAACAGCTACAATTTTTTGGCAATGCATAGTAAACAGTTTTGTAACCACATACTGAAATGAAGTCTCCAGTACATGACTGAAATTGGCTTAACTATGGTAGTGGTCAAAAGAATTAGAGCAGCAAGCCATGAATCTATTTGATTATCTTTCAGAAATACCTTAAGCCATCAGTGTACTGAACTTTTATTATTTTTGTATTTGATAGGTAATAAGCAACAAATATCTTACACTGGACTGTAGTATATCCTGCTGATGTACATACTATATCTCACCAACAGAGGCCAGATGGAACAATGCAATATAAAAGACAAATCCCTGTGATGAGTTGTTTATATGTTTAGCTGACAATGAAACTAAAAAATGAGACTATTGTGGTCTATCTGCAGCTGCTTTCTCTGAAGTTCAGGAAATTTGGATTGTTGAACCACAGGAAGCTGTCATGAGTTGATCAAAACTGGAATAGATTCTTGTGGAGCCTTTTTTCCATTTTGTATTTTACGTAACTTGTGGCTATTGCAGAAAGCTTTGTAATTACTGTTTCACTCGGGCACTTTATCTGATTACAGCTACTAAATCAGAAAACTATTTCCCAAAAATGCAATCACATTTTCTTTTTCAAAACACTGAATACTTTTCAATTACATCACAAGCATCCCACTAGGAGAGGCAACCTTTCAAACATTCTATTAAATATATACAGGATTTAATGATGTAAAAGTTGCCTTTTCCATGCAAGCCAGACCACAGTCATCTCTAAAAAGAAAGACTTTTTTTTTTTTTTTTACTTTCTCTGAGAAATCAAGATAGAAAAGGACAATTTTAATATGTAACCACAGTTCTAGAGTAAACTTCCAGGTCAGACTCACGCATCTATCTTCATACCTGCTAATCTTTATTTTCTTGCCTTTTTTTAATGACTTTTAATGACCTGAGGCATCGATCTACTGATTTCTGGATGTCACACATAGAATTCTGGGCCATTCTGCACAAATAAACCGTGTATTTCCTTTAGGTCTGACATGGCCAGCATACACTAACCTTGCTCTGCACACACAGTAGTCATGTGCCCAAGGTGCATCCCTGTTGGAGCTCTCCTTTTTGTGCTGACTGCAACAGTTATGCTTAACATCTAGTTCGGCAAATACGCTACCGACAACTTGCTTCTGTACACATCTTCAGTTGCTCTGCAACATAACCAGCAAATCTTACAGTTCCCTCTGTCCTCCAGCCTTTCTGCAAATCTCCCGCTTCCTTTACAGTCTGGAGAGTGGTGGAAGAGGTAGGATTTGTCCTTAAGCATGGATACGGAGTGACACGGCTGCTTGGGGGGTGCATTTACTCCTGTTTCACAAGTTCTACCTCTCCTCATATCTCTGTAAAGAATGCAGACGGTAATGGAGGAACAGAAGTGCTTATAGTAGGAAGAAATTATGCATATGGAACTAGACATGGTGCCCATTTGGAGGGACCCCTTCACTCAAAGAGCCTCTCCAGAATTGGTGCAGACACTGAAGGTGGACACACAGGACAGGGCACATGGACAACTATAATTCACAAACCTTCTACATTTCCCAACCCTTATACTGTACCACACTACAGTACTGGTACTATAGAAAATAGTCCCAACTCTTCCCAACATTTATGTTCAGATTATCAATAGACAAGATGACCTCTTTGATACTTTTTTCTTCCAGCCTGCATTGTGTGTGGTAGAAAAATGCAGACATAGACTGTGCTCTCACAGTCAGTACAATGTTATAATACATGCAAGAGAGACAAGAATTTTCAAGACTGGTGACTTACAACAGCTGTCTCCTCACTGATCCCATCTTGCGTCCTCCTCTGGGAAATGACATCTTCCAATCGCTTGTTTGGATTTGGCTTTGTTTAAATTGTTCTACAGTACAAATGACATATTTATTTCTTGTGGAGAGCAGGTCTAAGCACACTCCTGCTTTTCTTGCATTTTTTCTTCTTACTGTAAGTTTGATTTTTGACACTTACTGCTGTCTAACTGCAGCAAAAATGGAAGCCACAGAGGTGGAGAGATGTGGAAACAAAGTTTTATTAAGTGCAAAAATGGAACAAAAACCACAATATAAATCACTGAAATGTCCTAGTAAGTCAGTAATTCAGGATGTAAGAGCAATAAGAACAACATCTGGTGTTAATAGGAGTATGCATGTTGTTAATTTCCCTTGTCTCCCTTTACCACTGCATGGGCAGTAAGGATCAACTATAGAGATTAATTGACTGTGTCATGATACCTTTCTGTGCAAAAATACTTGCCCTTTTACAGATATTGAGTAGTTCATTGTACTACTTTTGAATGTCTGTTTTGCTGGCATTCAAACAACTTTGGAGTGAATGCCATTTAGCTTTCAACCTTCCTTATGTATAGTCCTCTGTTATTCTGTAAAACCTCAGTGCGGTCAAATTCTGTATGGTCTCACAATCTTCAGGGTACAGCTTCATGAGGTATAGCAGGTATATGCAGTCACATCATCTCTCCAAGGTGAGGTAAGGGGGCATTCATAACAAATTCAGTCAATTCAATTTATAGTAGCTGATTCTCATAGAGGGTAGGCTCAGTCCAGAGCTTTTAACAAACCATGTGCACTATCTGTATTCACATGCATAGCATAGCATTTTGATACTTTCTGTTGTTAGGGAATACATTGATGACAGCATGTGAAAAACTATGTGGCTGAGGAGCAAGTTAAAAACCTCCGTTAAGTACCAGGAAAGTTATTAACTTTTCTGTCAGTTGTTTGGTCAAGAAATGGACGTGCCCACTATGTCCGATGGCATTTCTGAAGTAGGGGCAATCATTAGTCCTGCAGGAGAATGTTAAAACTGATCTGTGATTACAAATCACCAGAAACACTGGCAGAGAAGAACTGAACCTTGAGAAAGATTTGGAAATGTAAAGACACACATATCTAGAGAGCAGAAATCCTCTTCAGTAAAAGCTTAAGCCAGAGAACGGCTTTTGCCTAAACAGCATGTTTCAACAGCTCTTTAGTCGCCTAACAGAAAGAGGGAGACCTCCTGGAGCTGATCTGAAGGACACCATAGATGTGTGCCTTATTTCTTTGTTCCTTTTCATGTGCGTGTTAGTCCGGCAACTGTGTTGTCTCCATTTTGCAAATCCACATTTAGCCTTTACTTTTACCTGGCCACCTGTCAGAACCTATGCTTGATTACAGGATATTTGACAAACAATAAGGTATTTCATTCTCATGAATCTTAAGACATGGCCATGACAGCCAGCACTCCAGTTGTGTTCTCAAGTGCACTGAGAAGGTAACTGAGCTCCTCCACTACAGCTGCATGAATTGTCAGTGTCAAAGAGATGTCTCCCCAGAACTAGCATTAGTTGAATGCAAGATAATGATGAGAGTAGGCTGAGCCTTGATGGTTTCCTAGCAAATTGACAGAAGATCTTCCAAAATGATTCTCCATTGATTTCTCCCCATTGGTACTAGGAGGAAATATGGTTCCATTTTATCCAGGAATTTATGTCAGATTGGTACCTTCTGCCAGGCAGTTAATAATAAGGGAGGATTACCATGGTCTTCAATGGCATTACTAAGTTTGTTTTAAAAAATAATACTAAGTACAAGTGTTCCAAAGGGTGCGGAGTGTATGTACATACTGAAGATCTCATTTTCACATAAACCCCCTACATCCCTCAGCTGAAAGGAGCTCATGGTATAGATATCAGTGTCCATGAACAAAATACTATTATCTCTATCCCATGCCCCTCTTCTCCCTGCCAAAATGAGCATTTACAGTATTCTCAGTGAAATAGGAGGATGGAAACAGTCTTTACCATTCCTTCAAATCACTCCTGCTTGGCTTGTCTAGACCATGTACAACACAGTAGTGAATACTGTTAGCCCAACCAAATCTGCCCTACTCTTTCTAACCTCTCTTTTCTCTGTTTTCACTTGATTTTTCTGCTTGACATTGCCCAAAGCCTGCATGCCAAGCTCTCTAGGGCAGGAGCTTTTTGCATCTACACCCAAGCAGGATACTTAGAAAATACCGAAATACAAACCCAAGAGCATTTAAATAATAATACTTTGCAAATACTGATGTATTTATTGAGGGGCCTCAAAAAGTATGCAAGTATAACTAGTTTCATTCTACATTGCTGGAAAATGTGAAATGAAAATGTTTTGCATTGTGCTTCGTGCCATGTGGTAAGTCCTGAGCAGAATGAAATTTCTGGCCCTTGTACAGACTGCCGAGGAAACTCTCTCTGGGATAGCATTTAGCATTGGGGTTAACGTTGTCCTAGCCACTGTAACAATTTCTACGTTCTTCTCAGATCTCAGACTTGGGCTCTTTTGAACACTATCTTCCCAAAGTAAGTGTGCAGTTTGTGTTTTCTATTAGTTAGCAAAATGCACAGTTTTCTGCAGCAGCTTCTATCTCCAGATTTGTTATATGACTACATTAAAGTCACAGCCCTCAGTCCGTGGTTCAGCCCCTTCTGAGCCTACGTGAAGATTATTATAGTGCCCTTTGGGGTTTATCTTGGTAGGTTTTGCTGGCATCAGGTACCGAAGGTTCTTCCAAAATCTGGAATTCACAGGAAGAGATTTCTCCTTTTTCCACTTCACAACCCTCTTTGATGGTAAAAGAGACAGTGATTCTGGCAAGAAACTGTAGTCACTTATAGGCATGTATTCAATCAGTATGATCTTAGTTTTTCTTTCAACTAGGGCTTTATGCAGTCCACTCTCAAGTTCATATATGGCTTGGTCAGAAACGTAGTTCTGGCTCAGTATAATGATTAATCTTCGGCTTTTGTCAATGAATGAATGGATATCATCAACAACCGCTGCAAATTAAAGATAAATGTGTTATTAAACTAAATTGAAAGGATAGGCACTGAATCGACTCACCCTTCAACAATCACACATGTACCAAAAAAGCTCCCCTTACAAAGTGACAGCATGTAAGCATCCTGTCCCTATGAAGAGATTAATACGGAATCATAGAACCATTTAGGTTGGAAAAGACCTTTAAGATCAAGTCTAATCGTTAACCTAGCATTGCCAAGTCCACCACTAAACCATGTCCCTAAGTGCCACATCTACATCTTTTAAATACCTCCAGGGATGGTGACTCAACCCCTTCCCTGGGCAGCCTGTTCCAATGCTTGACAACCCTTGCGGCGCAGAAATTTTTCCTAATATCCAATCTGAACCTCCCCTGGTGCAAATTGATGCCATTTCCTCTTGTTCTGTCGCGCGTTACTTGGGAGAACAGACCAACACTCATCTCACTACAACCTCCTTTCAGGTAGTTATAGAGAGCGATAAGGTCTCTCCTCAGCCTCTTTTTCTCCAGGCTAAACGACCCCAGTTCCTGCAGCCACTCCCTATAAGACTTGTTCTCTCTAGACCCTTCATCAGCTTCATTGCCCTTCTTTGGACACACATTACAGATTAAGAGTCTGCAAAAATGAACTCAGGTATGGCCAAAGTTTGTTCTCTGGAGCAGACAAAAACCTGCATACAATCTCCAGCTACCCTAGACAGCTGTCTGTCTGTAGTCACACGGATAGAAGGTGACAGCAAAATTTATTTTTCCTACAACCAGACATCTCTTTGCTCTTTTATAATAGATACCATTGAAGTGATTCCACAGAAAGTCACCAACAGCAACCTTTCTCCAAATATTCAGTAACCCTCAGGTTACTCCTTCCTTTACATCACCAAATACCCAAATCTATTGCCAGTAATCCAAGGCTGAGAAGACTGGCTTGTGATGACAGAATGAGTTCTAACTGTGTTTTGGATCCATTACTTTTGTCATGACAAGTGATGAATGAAATCAAATGGTGATACCCTTCAAAAACCCATGCACCAAACTGCATTCTCATGCACAGCTTCCTGTGCTTCAGCACCTTGGGACAAGGTCTAGAGAGACCAGAGATCTAGAAAACATGCCTTGTAGGGAAAGGCAAAGCAAACTGCAGGAGTAACCTAAAGAAGAGAAAACTGAGAGAAGGAGGCTGACAAGGGTATTACAACACACCAAAGGCTCCTGTAAATAGAAGGAAATACTGTTTTCCATATTCACAATGGATCAGATCAGAGAAAAGGAAATAAGCTAAAACTATTGAAAGAATCAGACTGAACACTTCAGAAAGTCTTTTTTTAATACTTAAGGAGACAGAATAACTGGAAAAAAATGGCTTGGGAGAGCTGTGGCACCTCTCAGGTTAGTAAAACATGTCAGGAATGGACACAAGGAGACAAGATCCTGCCTAGTGAAGGAGGCTGACTGGCCTTATTGTACTGTGTTTTTAACAATGAAATCCTATTCCTCAGCTAGATCTTTGGACTAAATGGAATCCCCCAGTATCTTTTTTCCAAGTATCTGCAAAAGGCCACCTATCCATAGGCCATTTAGAGAAACAAAATTCCATGTTCCCATTTCTATTTTGTTATGGCACCCATTATCTTCATAAAATGGTTTCAACCACCACACTGAAGATACAGCAAACACACAAGTTAACTGAGAATAACTAGTACCAGAGACACCAGCTGCTCTGTGCAGTATATGTGATTTCATAGGCACCAGCTCTCAGCAAAAGCAGACCAAGAGCCCTGTTACGGTGAAACATCTGACATGTTCTGTGTTCTCACCTTAACTTTCTCCATGCTAGCTTTTTCATCTGTTCATCTTGGTTCTGTGTAATTAAAGGTATGTCTATGTGTGTAGGTGTGTATGAATTCATAAATATACTATAAAATATGTAAAATGTGTGCATGTGAACTTTGCATGCGCATAGTCTAGATTAAATGAAAAATGTAGTATTTCAATGCACAACACATTTGACAGAATTCCTTCTAATTACAGACTTTAACCTTTGTGTGAAAATGATGTGCCTATTTAATGACAAGAATATTCAATACACTTACCTCCTCCAGGGGATACATCTCTCTCAAATATACATAACTTGTACCCAAAGTTTTCTTCTAATATCATGGGTAATATCTCCAAAGCAAATTCTCTCTCTTCTTCAGTAGGAGAAATGCAGTCTTTCAGGTAAGACACAAATGCATCATATTCTTTTCCATCTGGAAAGAAATCACCAATTGTTGTCTTGTTAGCAACCATTAGAAATACAGTATCTGACCCACCATTCTGGTTTTCAAAGTTATTGTCTCAGTAGCAAAGCATCTAGAAACTCCTTCTCTTTCCTTTGATACCCCTAACAGTCTTCAAACAAAAAAAAATTATGACTCAATTTAAATTTTATACAAAAGATTCTGATTGCATTTGGCAAATATTTGAAAAGAACATATCCTTTCTACATTAAGGTGTTTTTTAAAAAAATCAGATTAATTTAACCAGTTAATGTCACATCTGTGATGATCAAGAAAATGAAGGGAAGCAAAAAATGTGTCTGTAACCTGGTAAGAATGGTATTTAAGTGATACTGCAGATTTCTACATTTATTTTACTCTTTTTCTAAGACTATAAAGTAGTTCTATAGAATGGATACTGGCAAAAGAGAACAAACGAATTTAGTATTTTAATTATAAGTATATACCATGTCTGGTCATGCTCTGGGCAGTAATCTACAAAAACAAAATCCAAGAGCAATTCAGAGGCCAGGTCTACCCCACTAAGCGATACCTGATTGAACCTTGCCACAGAACAACTATCTGGATCGATACAGCAGCACACATAGCTTTGCATCTTAAACTGTACTTCTTTGCTTCCCTTTCTGGATACTTTACTACATGTAGTTCATAAGAGACAGCACAAACTAAAGCCCATAAAACCCTACACATGCAAGAGCTCTAGGGAGTAGGAAATCCATTGCCTGATATCAGAGAATCAGTTTCTCCAGCATAGCCTAGTCCAGGTTCTCGGAGATCCTCCCTGTAAGCCAGTGTATGCAGTGATAGCTAACATCATCAACAGATAGAAAAATAATGCTGGCAAGCATAAATGACATCCGCCTGTTACTGAGGAATCTCCAACCAGTGCAGTTTATTCAAGCTATATTCAAGCTGATTTAGAGACTAAGGAGGGCTAAGAAAACCAGGTACGTATATACAGCAAGTTTTTTCAGCACAATTTTCAGAAAAATTATACCCAGAATCGTGTAATGGACAGGCTTGCTCCTTAAGTGAAGGCCACAGCGATGCTGCCTGGTAAGATACTGGTAGTGTGTTCTCCTGCTCTCCTTAAGGACATTTAGTAACAAACCTATAAATATTGCAATGGCCTCTACAGTCAAGGAAGCATTTTAACCTTCACCTCGCTGAAGGGCATCAGTGAGGTGAAAACAAATTTCTGTCAATCTCCTTGTCTGACAACTCCAGAGTGCTTATCCTCTTTACAGATAGATAATTGTAAACTTCTCCACCTTCATCAACTTTTGTGATGAAGAATATGGCAAAACAGAGCGCATCTGAACAGCATCTAACCACGTCCCTTCCACTATCTGCTCCAGAGGCAGCTTCTTCACTGTGTTCATCTGCTGTTACTGCCCCAGGTGTATAACAAACTCACTTTAGCACCTGACCATCAAGTTGTCTCTTACATATTCTTTGTTGTTTCTACTCACAAAACTCCTGGATTTATTTTGTCTCTTCCTCAAAGATGATTTTTTTATAGAACCTAGCAGAAACTATTTCTTAATCAATACACTTATTTCAATGTCAGCATTAGCCAAGTCATACCTCCAGCAGTGTCATCTCTTCTGCATATGTTCCTGTAAAATAGAACTAAGTCGACTCTAAACATCATACAGACAAACACCACAGCTACAGCAACACATGGAAATAGTACAGCAAGGACCATCCCAGTTGTAAATATGTGCACAGGCAGATCTCGGGTGTTCCCTGTAAAACAGAAACCCATGAAATTATAACCTTAACAAAGAGTATTATATGACAAGATTACTGTATTCAATACTGATAACATCTTAAAATCAGCCCCAAAAATCACAATGTTGATGTGAATCCTTTCCTGCTAATACTTCAAGCACATATGCATGCCATTTGTCATGAGATGGAGAAGAACTATAGAACATGGATTACTCTAAAAACTGGAGAAACAATCTTGCACACATTCACATACCCTCCACACATTTAAATGAACTGTACGTGGGATCAAGACTGCCACTACAGATCCTCATAGATGTATAGCATCCCAAACCAGTGGTCACCCACTTTTATGATGAGTTTTCTTCAAGTTCTTTATTATTTCCTGTTATTCTCTACCTTTTACCCCTCTCTCAGTCCATCCATAACAGTCCTTAATGTCCCCTTTAATCTCTTTGGCCAAGATCTTTTTTTTTTTTCTCTAGTCTCTTTCAGGTTGGTTTTTTTTCATTATTATTATTCTATTATCTTTGTCTTTTTAGTTTCAAATACAGATTTTTAACCCTTAAATCTTTGGAAGTCTTTATGAAGGCACTGTCAGGTCATGCTCATTGTAGTCTGTATTTCATTTGCTTTATTATATGCATCATCTTTTGACTAGTCTATTTTCACGTATTTCCTCCCAGTAAAGCTTGGAAAGGTCTGAGAGATGGAAAACAAGAAGGTAATGCCCATTTGCCATGAATCTCCAAGTTGTCTGGACTACAAATGTGAAGTACTACTATATGGTAGAGGTCAGCTGTCCACAGCTAGAAGGATAGAGTCCCTGATAAGAAAGAAACCATCGACCAGAACATTTCAGGCATTGTCGGGAATATAAAAGACTGAACTTTCCAGGAAAAACAAACAAACAAACAAAAACCACAAAAAACAACTAAAACCTCAGATTTTAAGTTTAGAAAGAGCTGCTTAATAAACAAAGTGATCCAAACAGCAGACTCAGGGCTGCACCAAGCTTTGGGTAGTTAACTGCTGTGATCCCACCAATCTGATGAGAAGGAGAGGACAGGGAACATTCTGTCATGGGATCTAACAAAAGTGCTGCCCAGGGATCTGTGTCCACCACAGCAGCAGCTGAACTATGGAGCCCTCGCACAGCTGCTCTAGCAGACGTAGCAGCAACACCTGCTGCCCCTTTCTCAGAGCAGGAGGAATCACCCAGGGGGTTGTCAGGTCTAGCACTAGATGGACCAGGGCCTTCATAAGCACACAGACATATTTGGAGAGATGTTCTGAAATCAGTACCCTGCCCTCAGGATTGAGAAGGCTGGCATGATTAGTAATTACTTATGAGAGGTATGATTCATAGATTATACCGTACCTTTCTTCAGTTTCACTATTTTCATTTGTGTTCTTTCATCTGCTTGCAACATGCAGGTGAAATTACGATGCATGTCCTCGTCTGTAACTTTTTTAATCCACAGTAGTGTTGTGACATAGAACTTGTTTCCCAACCTGCAACAAGAAATGGTGTTAGCCATTGTACACTATCTGTACAGAAACCTGCAACCAGCTGAGAGTCAGATTTTGAGGAAAAGGTTCTAAAATAACCTCAGACTGAGGTTTTACTGAATTTGCAGTTCCACAAAGTGCAGGGCATTATCACATACAAACCAAAGTGCAGTGTTTTCAGGAAACCTACTTTAATTTTTTTAACTCTTCTTCACATATTGAAGGTTCATTCTCGGGGATACCTGTGCATTTTTCTGGAAACTTTTGATTAATTAACCAGTAGAGGCTGGCATCTTCTCGCATATAATAACCCAAGAAACCTGTGCAATTGAGTATCTCTTCTTTACCTAAACAAAGCATAACATGAGAAGATCCAGTCAGAAGTAGCATTCATGTTCACAGTGCAGTAAAATGTCAGCTTTCCAGGCCATGTATCCCAAGAACTGTGCTCCTTTCTGGACTTCATAGCCCCTGCACAACATTTCATAGGTGTTCCACCTGCACTGGTGGTAGCTTCAGCAACCATGCACAGGGCTCTGTTGCACCCTGTTGCAGTGACAGTCATTCACTGCCTTCTCTCAGATAAACTGTCACAGCCAGAAGAGTTTAAATAGGCCAGAGAATTTCAGGCTTTAGAGAACTAAAGGGATTTAAACTCAATCATCCTTGTGGGTCCCTTCCAACTTGAGATATTCTATGATTCTATGAACTACAGTGTGTGCTGCAGGCAGAGAACAGGAGAGGACAACCTATCACCAGTGCCCCAGGGCCAGGTAAAAGTAACTGGTAAGGGGAATTACAACCAATTGATTGTAATAGCTAAACTATACACTATTACTCAATAAAACCAAAACCTTTTAGACCCCCTGCTGAAGCCACACAGAAGAAATGCTCACCCCAGCACCACACCTGGAAATCAGCATAATCCTGAATATGTGAACAAGTTACTTCTAGCCAGTCAGCTACTTTGCACCATTTCATAGCACTAATTGGAAGTGGCAGAAACCACCCCATAGACTCCAGTTACTTATAAGAAAGAGCAAAACTAAAGAGACAACTGTATACTTGGCAGAAGTATACAGTTATAAAGGCAGAAGACTGCAGCTCTGGAGTGTGAGATTTGATGATTTGCAAGGCATTTTATTTTAAGCATTGTCATGGGAAGCTTGACCTAAGGTTAGCTGCAACTTTACACTACCATTTCTAGGCTATGCCAGCACCATTTCCAGGGAACACATCCAGAACGCCCTTTATTAAGCCACAAAAGACGCATGTTAGTTCTTGTTCAGGCCATCATGCACAAATGCTTTCCAGTAAGCGAGGCCTGCCCAGGAATTCTCTAAGGGCACACATTGTAAGCTGACTTCTCAAAATTTATCAGAGTGGATGCTTCCAGTGGAACTGCTTAAGAACCTTTAAAGAAGGATCCAGCTAAAAATCTGCCCATCTTAGATTCAGACCTTAGAAATCCAAATCACAGTTGCACAGATTGAAACACAGACCCAAGCTTCTAGTATCATCGACCTTGCAACTCTAGCTTTTTCACCATACACAACAGCTATTTTCAGGGAAATATTACAGAACACCATCTAAACAATGACAGGTTTGAAAGACCACAGACCTAGCTCATCCAAAATTCCCTTCACTCTCCACCGTGCCATCTGTCTCATCACTCAGCAGGTAGTTCAATGACCTTATCAGATGATCTTATCAAGGCAGATAAGGGATGGAAGACAGATGTTTCATAATCACTTGATGCTGAACCCTGCCACCTTCTAATGGTTGGGACAAGCACAGTAAGTGGGAAGAACTGTGCGAGAAGGGTGTACTGGGAGGTTGGGAGACATGAGGCATCATAGGATTGGGGTACTACCATTGTAAAAAGGACCTACCAACTGGTATTTGTAGGAAGGAAGGAAAATTAGCATCTGAGGTCGTGGCTGAGCAAATGAGATACATGTATGAGCAACAGAGGAGGTAAATATGATTTTTCAGACTTGGAAAGCAAGGACTAGGTAACCAGATGGGAGAAGCCCTCAGGCACAAAGGCAGAAAAAGAGAGGTAAATTTCTGTTTTTAAAAATTAATTACAGCCTCAATCACAAAATCCTGGATCCAGTCCAACACTGTGCAAAGCCTGCAGACCATGTTATCTAACCTAATCCAAGCCAGAAGCACAGTTAAGGTCTTGGCTTTTGACAATATAACCAATTCTTTGCAGCAGTGACAGATCTTCATGCTCGCATTGCCAGGACTGTAAGCCCTCACACTTCTCATTTGCCTGCAGAATAACATCCTTAACTGTATCAGGTATTAAGGGGATTACTCGTTGTTGCAGTTTGCTGAACAAACCAGACATCTTTCACACATCACTTTGTGGGGTTTGCTATCTACAAAAGAAGCCATGGAGAGACTGTTTATCATCACCACCACCTTCTCTTGCTGATCATAGCAGCAACCTCAGCTTCTGCCTCTGTGAAAGGGTACGTTTGTGTACTTGTATATCAATCATGGAATACACTAGGCCAAACATAACCAGATGTGAGGATGGATCAGATCCAGGAGGGTGCACAGACAATTCTTAGTTTGATTACATTTAACCAGACCATCAACCATAAAGAGATCAGAACAAAAGTATATATATGCAGTAGCTACCACAAAGATTCTTGTACTAATTTCATACCTATTTCTGTTTCAATTTCTTCATTGTGTCCAACTATCTCCAAAGCGCCAGCCTCTGGTGCATCTGAAATACAAAGAAGTATTGCTATTGAAGTAATAGCTTACTTACATTCTACCACAGTAAAAATTACACATTTGCTTCATTTCTAAAACTAATCACACACATTCCATTTAATTCAAAGAACCATATTATCTGGACTCTGGCATTACTGAGTAGTTTAAAACACAGTATGTCCTGTTGAATTATTTTCATATGAATATATATACAGTGCACAATTTACAACGGTTGGAGAGGCTCTTCCCCAAAACTCTTAGTAAGTTTGTACGACTTATTACAGCAGCTAATTTTGAAAAAAAATAAAACTGCATGGAAGATATACTAAATAAATTTTCCAGAATTGGTAATATGTCATTTAAACTTCTTCCACTTTTTTATTTTTTAAATTACTGCAAAATAGTTCAGATTACCAGATTTGATCACCCTTGTATATATTTATCAAATGAGAATTGTAATTAAAAATCTCCATAGTAAAAAGAACAAAAAGCATGCTTCAAAATTTTAGAAAGCTTTTTTACCTTCTTCTACTACCAGTTTAATTGTATTTGTGCTGTGGTATATCTTTCCTTCATGACTGATTAAAATTTTACAGGTATATATCCCAGAGTGCTGTACTGTTAAGGTTTTAAAATCCAGTTCCCGCTCTGTTTCATTTTCATAGTTCTTACAGTCCTGCATCAATAAAGACAGAAAATGCTATTCTGTAGCAAACATACATTCAAAACCTTATAAAAGTTGAAAATTATTTTTGAAATGAAGTGTCACCATCACTCTTTCACTATCTCAGTGACATTTATCTGACCCAAAAGATGTGGGGGCTCAATTCTCAGTCATGGTCATTTAAAGGCAACATTTGAACATTTAACCCGTTAGAAGTTGAGAGCACTGCAATTCCAGGTAAGCATCTGAGTATAAAAATATTGTATCAGGAATTTAAATGCATTCATCTATTTTTGTCCAAATGATGGCTTGGGTCTGTAGGTGTCACCTTCTTGTGGCCAAAAGTTGTCTAGACTTAGGAGAAGCTTTCAGGTTAAAGCAAAATGCCTCAATAATAGGGCAAGTGACCATCTCAGAGGGTGACAAGAGTTGGACTCACATTTGTTTACTCTCCCTATCCCCCCAAATAAACTGGTTTGTTTGGGGTTTTTTTTAATTCACAGCACATGCTAAAAGTGAAATGTCCTGTGAAAATGCAGCAATATTTGGTTCTGGTCTGAATTACCTCAGGTCAGGAAGGGAAATGATCACTGCTGGAAATTGTCAGGGGAATGGACATTTCCTGGATGCATATGCTTATTACCAGGCTCGTATACAAAAGGCATGTGTGATCATCCCTGTTTTATCTCAGCTTAGGGTGTTGCAGGAAGGCTTTGAAAATTTTCATCCAATCAAGCATCAGAGGATATTGAGGCACAAGGATGGCTGCTTCATCTGTCTCACACAGTACTAGGCACTAAAATATTAGGCATCAGTATACTCAGCTTAGCCATGACAGAGGTCAATCTGGGGTATGGTCCTTTACTGAGGAAAACAAATCCACCTACGGCCCCATCTATCAATGATCCTATCCTCCCAGGCCCCGAAGGACAAAGAAGCAGGCCTGTGGCTCATTCCGCTAGGCAGAATCCAGATGCCTGTACTTAAGCGGCCAGAATCCCTTCCTGAAACTGATTCAACACGGAGTGAACAGGGTCTGTTACTCCAACGAGGACACCTGAGAGGGATAAGGAGCACTAGGCAAGGCAGTGCCATAGTGACAGGGTGCAAGAAATTTATTCAGGGTTGTTGAGCACAACACCCAACAGTTACAGGTGCTTACACAACTATCATCGATGTTCTGACAAAAGCTGGTAGAGAGAAGATTGACGATTTGCCTAGAATGAACAGAACTGAATCTGTTACACGTTTTGTAAAGAGTGTTCAGAAGCAGCAAAATTGAAAAGTTTGCAATTACTTTACAAGCACATGCCAACTGTAAAACAAATATCTTGGCACCTCATTTAGTGTCAGGGTAATATCTGCATCAGCAAAGTAGCAGCTGGCTAAACCAGCCACCGGCTAAATCAGCAAACAGACATGTGCTTCAGATCTTTTACCATTCCAAACTACCAGTTTATTAATAATTTCTGATTACAGGTACATTTTTCTAAAAAATCTGAGAGCAGAGAAAAACTTTCTAAAAAAACTGTCTAAAGGTTTTTCCCTAATAACCTGAGAAATTAAAGCTTTACAAAGTCTGTAGGTGCTTCTAAAAATTTGTTTGTAATTATTTTTTCCTGCAATCAGATGTTTTGTTTCTATAGCCAATGATGAGTGACACTGTTTCAGTAATTACCTTGTACCATGTTATGCTGTCATTTTCATTGACAGACAAATCACTGCATTTCAGTGAATGACCAGTTCCAGCATTTTTAATTTCTGTAGTTAAATGATTTTTGTTGAAACAGCTGCTTTTATTTCTTTCAAGTACATTCAAGGTCCACTTTTGAATTGTGAAATTTTGTTTTCCATTGCTATGAAAAAAAAATTAGCAAAATCAGTTTTAGGAGCTTTTTAAAGGAATGTAACTGAGTTACACGACAAAATACAAATAAATTCTCTAGTACATCTGTTAGGTAAAAAGTACATCTACAGTGACCCAATTATTTATATTCCCCTTTGTTACTTTTCCACCCCCAAATATGTGTTATTTCCCATAACAAAAGAGGTTATCTAAACTAAATCATCTATCACAAAACATTTGACAATACAATTATATCTATGAAATATGACAATATGTGCTATACCAACCAGAAAAAGGATGCAACAATCTGTGGCATCATGTATAGTTACAAGTGAGCATAAAAGAGTTTTAGGACCTTGAATCAGCTAGTGATTTTGCAGGTTTAATGTCCCATGCATTGCTAAGGTTTAAAGCAGTAAATGAAAAATGTATTTGTAAAATATGCCAAAAATAAGATGGGTAACTCTGCTATTGTTTACAAAGCAACATTATTCATTTTTTGAATATTGTCTTTTTTTGAATACTCATCTTTTGAATATCTAGGAGCTGACCATTGTCAGTCAGGTATCTACTATGTTCTATCCACATATTCCTCTAAAGAATCAGATTATAGCTGTAAGTTATTTCATTGCTGGATATGTCCAAATACATGACTACTGAGGGAAAAGAAGCTAGAGGACTTTCAGCTTAAGTTTGGCAAAGTTGGCCTAACTTTGGCAAAGTTAGGGCTTAAGAGGAAGTCATATGCTGCTGTAAGTTCATGGGTGCAATTAGTGCATAAAGCACTCATTTTTTACTGAACAAATAGGGTCTCACAGAGCAAAACCAGCAATCACAGAGCACTTCCCTCCAGTGTCAGTCATATCTTCAAAAATATGTTTGAATCTTTCTGTCTCCAAGAAAAAAAAAGGAATCGTTCCCAGGAGAACTGAAACTAGTCAAGGATCATTTTGATGAGAATGGCTAAGGGGACAAAGCAGTTGAAAAGGAGAAGCAAGCCTGACAAGGATATCAGCTTAAACACCATTCTTGACTGATGTGCCTTTTACTGTTACAAGATTCAGAAGAACTATTAGGACATAATTTATACGATGAATTTACACCAACTTTTGGGTTGGGTTTTTTTCCCTTTTCAAGCTCCCCAGAGAGATGTATTTATGTATTTTGCTCAGCCTCTTTGCATTGTAGTCCTTTTTCAGCCTACACAGGTTCTCCTTGTTCTTCTTACTCACTTGAGATAGTCATTACTCATAATTGCAATTTGAATACCTAAATGAAAACAAAGTGGTTTGGTTTCTCAACCAGTTACCTATGGTTTCATAAACAGGAAAAACCTTATCAAAGCTTTTCCATCAGAGATGTACTGGTACGGGTATCCATGGTAGGTGGAGTCCTTCTCACCTATTCTTCAACATCACATTGACACATTTAAATCAGAGCTACCAGTCACAGTCAGCAGTGGGACCACAGTCAATAGTCATCCTTTTAGAGTGCAGTTTACATGACCTATTTTATATGTTTGTTTTAGGACAAGATAATCTGTGCCCCAGAAAGGCCTCTCTCTCCCTGACAGTAAAGGTACCTAAGATAAGTTCAGGTATAGACATAAACATTAGTTCCAATTAATTCCACCCAGTCCATGTGTTTCTTTAGATATCACGCTAGTATCTGAATACTGCTGGAGAGGCAATTACAGATCTAGCCAGAAAATACATAGGGTTTTACTATCTAGATTCAGCAGATGGAAGAAAAGGATCAATAAAGCCACATGTTCTCCTCAGCACTGTCACTCCACAGAGGCTTTCTTCTGTGATCATATTTGGTGAAATTACTTCAACAAATAAGGATTTCACCTACAGTGGATCAAAATATTCTACATGAGCCAAAATCTGGCAAGGAGCAGCTCCCTGGAAGGTGAAAAAACCATGCCTATGCAAACTAACTTGAATTTGGCTCACATAATTTCTAGTTGTCTGCCATATACATGATTTTTAACAAAAAAAATAGATTAAGTTGTTACTGTTTAAACTGCTAGTGTCTAAGCTGTTATATTTCTATCCTGGCTTTCACTTGCTGAGATTCTTTAGTGATAATTTGTGGGGAACAAAACCATTTCTGACTTAACAGCCTTTCAACTCTCCCCGCCAAACCCACCAAGAAGGAACAACAAAAACTAGCTTGACTCAGGAGAGGCTACAGGGAAGTGAAAGCCCTTAGAGCATATAAACCAAGTTTACTGGATACATAGCCAACTCTAAGTCATCCCATAGCTATTTCACTGCAACAAGCCAGTGTTATATCAGTATTTCAACCTACTGCAAGTTGATTGCAACTACAATATTACCTCTAAATGTGTGTGTTCCCACTGCTTTCAACTGTTCTAAACACACTGAAAAAGTGAGCAGCATTGGGATCTTAAAATGTATCACGTGTTTATCATAGATCTCTGTACTTTCATTTTTTTCAGGAACCTCTAAGTTCCTTCGGTTTCAAGGTCACCAACACAGAGCAACCAGATGACCTGCTTTTTTGTATTCTGTTTTTTTCTTTGATAACCACAGGATATAGGCTAAGAAAAAACATACAAATCAGAAATCCTGCCAAAGATGTGTGACACAGTTTTTCTGCTTACCGCTCCCACTACAAATGCATATGAAATTCTTCATTTTCAAGAAATGTTGCTGAAGATGGACACATTCAGGCTTACAGGTGATGTCTATTAATTCCTGAATTTATATCCTAAGTCTACTATACGAACAAATACACGTGAACACATCAACACACACATACACATACTTTAGCTATCTATGCTATGTCTCAGCAGGACACTTGTGCTTTAACTGGAAAACTTCTGATTCTTCTTTAAGTCAAAACTAAGTGGATAATACACCATAAATACATTGTTACATCATTTTCACATCTCACTTCTTGCATATTTTCAGTTGTAACATATCAGGAAAAAAATCCCTAAATTTAATTAGTTTGCAAAATCTGTCAACATGTTGTCTTTTCTCAAAAATCTGCAGTATATTTAATTGTCACTTTGTTCACTAAACCTGCCTAAACAGTTATAAGCACTCTAAAAATCATTTCCCACATAGCTTACAAAAACTTACCTCTAAATTAAATAGTTGAAAATGAAAAAGATAACTAAAAATATACTTAGAATGTCTGCTTTCAAAACCAAAACTTTAACCTATTGTAAATGCTCTGAACTAAAACTAATTCCATTCTAATTGTCATTCTTATTAAATCTTAAACCAATTCAGTAGTCCACAATAGCCCACAATTTTTCCCTATCAACAGAGACTACTAAAAGTCCTCTGTCTCTGCAGAAAACTGCTTCTGCAAATAATCTTCAGTATTTGCTGAAATGTAAACTGCTTTAATATGCTTGACAACAGTGAGAACCATCATATAAACTAAGCACAAGATCCCATTAAAATCCCATTAAAAAAATCCCCTTATGCCTATTATTCCAGTGGTGAGACCTGTGATGAGTTCCTGTGTGAGGATTGCAAGAGTCTGGCATGTGCCTTCATTCTGATCCTAACAGTATCTGTATGGGCCTAACAGAAAGACATTTTGAAGAAAAAAAACCAAGGTGTTTCAGAGTAGTCAAAATATATCCTTTTAATTAAAAACTTTTTTTTTCCAAAATAAAAATGCTTTCTTTCAAAACTGAGTTTTAAAATGTAGTAGCATAATATAGTCCTAGCAAATGAAACAAAGAGCAGAAAATCAAACCTCTTAATTCCAAATGAATGCTTCGATGTAATCAAAACCTTTCTTCTGAGCCTCTTGCTTAAGCAAATCAGCAAATCAAGACATTTCACAAAGGATTCAGACATTTTTGTGTTTTCCAACAAATACTTATTTTAACAAACTTCATCCTAATAGTTTTATTTAAGGTCTTTTCCTGTTATCTCCTTCTTCGATACATAAGGCTGTTTCCCTCAGTTTTGAACTTTACATTTTTTCATATTCATTTTACAGAGTTCTTGTAATTTACTGTGGATTTACTGTCATTACTCCAAGTCCTTAAAATAATCGCAAAACAGCAAGGATCATGAATTAAGGCTGGTGTTATCACAGCTTTCCTCTCTTTTGTCCTTTATTTTAGACTCCTTATGACAACCTCCTTCAGTAGCCTGACGATTCAGGTATGGTCTCCGACTATCCTTCCCCATGCCAAAATAAGTCAGACCATGCATTTTACACCTCTGGTTAAGTGCTGGCAGCAGAGTGAGTTCTTAGATTTAATAGCTTTTTAGTACTACATTTAGTGAAGTGACTGTATAGACAACTGATCAAGGCCATCAATAAAGCCAAAATTTAAAGCCAAATTCAGACTTGCTGTGAAAAGTACAGGTCCGTGACAACAGACAAGCCTATGTCAGGTATTATCTAATGTTAACCCCTACACACCAAAACTGAGCAGCTGGCTTCACCTGTGCTACTTCAGACAAATGTCTGTACTCAATAACACACCACCTTTGCGCAACCTTGCACAACAAAGTAGCCAAGCTACCATACTCATCACCTCTAAAGACAATTCTCTTAAGACTGGGTTCAACATACATGAGTAAAAGTTTTCTCAAGCTTTACCTACTACTTGGATAAAGAGTACCCTACAATTAAAAAGAAATCACATAAAGCCAAAAGAAATATTCTACCAACAGACTTTTTGTTTATAATATTTAGCACTTCAGATACCATGACTCATTACTTTTTAAAATACTATCAGTAAGACAATAATAATGATACATAGAAAAATAAAACATGAAGTTTTCAGCTTCCGAGTTAACTTGGAAGTTAATAACTGATGTCCAGCTTAAAACTGTAAACCATCAAACTTGTGTCTGCAATGTTACTGGAGAAATGTGGAGAGCATTTTTCAGTATCCACAGTCCCATAACCTTTATGAACCAGGCAAGAACCTTAAAAATATTACCTGGAGAAGAGCACAAATCATTACATGCAAAATAATCTGCTTAAAATAAATTATTGCTTCAATTGTAAATGCTGAATTACAGTTTTGGTGCAAGTTAGTCATAAGAACTCCATGCAACAAACCTTTGCTTTAGTCCTTTAGTCTTTCATGGTGGTCTAAGGAAGATTAGCACCAAATAACTGAGGCCTCCCCTTATTTCTCCTTTTGACTCACAATGTTCTACAGCAGTAAGAAATCAAATCCAATGATTTCATCTGTTCTTTGAATGGCTCCAAGCATGCAAAGGTTTGCACAGAAACCAGAGTTCAGCTATGCCACTCTTTGTTTATTGCTTTACTTTGCAATTAGACCACTTGGCAGGCTTCATAGCGTGAGATCCACTCAAGACAGTAAGGAACAACAAGTCTGGTGGAGAAGACAAGCAAATGTTTCCTTTTACTTGGCAGTGGACAGAAGGGTTGCCTATCACTCATTTTGCTTAGGTAATTAATCACAAACCAGCAGAAATGCTACCTGCCTTATCAAAAGGTTTACAGAACCCTTAAAAGGCTGCAGCTGCCTATAGCTATTTGTAAATATTATAGGTCTGCCTGGATGGATATTGCGAAATGATGTGGAAAATGACACCACAGTTAATGTAGTTCCCTGCACCTCCTTTGTACAGATGCCACCAGCAATACAAAGCAAGACAAAGAAATTAGCTTCTTCATAGGCAAGTGCAAAGGCAAGATGTTCACCCACCAGCTTGCGTACCCACCTGTGAGTGACAGAGTAATTCCCAGAGTCACTGAGTTCAGCTGGCCAAAACTCCAGAAAATTCATTTGGGAAACAATTCTGTCTGTTTCCTTCATCAGTTGCTGCTTTCCAGCGTTTTCTTTGTACCAGTTTATTGTGTATGCTTCTTCCTGAAAATCTTCTTGCATTGACTCAAGATAACAAAGGAAAAAATATTCCCCTTCTAGCACGTCAATGGAGGCACGAAGGGGACACAGCTTCTCTTCAGAGAACGAGGAAAAAAGATACATTAGGAAGCCAAGTACTTCTTTCAGAAAATTACATTAGCCTGACTTTAAAGTGATTTGCTGTGCTGCTGGCCTTTTATAAAGCGACTTTCTTTCAGCAGAGTGGTTTAGCAGTATTTATTTATTCTAGCAATACTTACTGGAAAACTCAGTTTTCCAAGTCTTTATTCTGCCTCACCCAAGCAAAACCAGAATGAAAGGGAGGATTAAAAAAAAGGACGTTTCCCTAAGATTCTTTCACCTGGGTCCAACAGTGTCAGAATCAAATGGGCACAAACGGCAGAATCTGGCCTCACTCTACAGTAAAGCAGCTGCCACAAATGGAAGAGGAAAGGAGAAATTCTTCACATATGGTGTGACTTGACAAATATGGCTAATCCTCAGAACTGGTCAACTGCCATAAAAGCAGAGATCCTATGAATTAACATTTGCATTTTCTTTTCTTAATTTAAACTAAATCATTATGTAGCTAGATCTCTTAAAAACTTGAGATATCTTTGGGAAAGTTGCCTTGGAATGAGATTATGCATGTAAAATTTAGTCTCAAAGTCTGCTTTTCCAATCAAATTTCCCAAATGTACTTTTGCATACAGAAGTCATAAAAAATACAGAAAAGGAACCATGGTCTAGCATTAACAGTCAAGAATAAAATAAGCCTTTGGTCTCTACCTCTCCTGAGGTTCTGAGAGATTATTGTTGTTTAGCAACTATTGTGACCACACTTCTGAATAGCACAAAAATAAGCACAATCATTCTCTTCCTTGCTGTGGCTCTTCATACAGCCATGTTCCCCTACAACATCATCAGGTGTCTCCAGGTAGCATCTCTGCTCTTTTTATTTCATAATTTGGGTATTTCGGACCAAAATTCCCAAATCTGGAGCTGGGCTGAAATTACCAAAACTTTTCAGATTTTGTTCTTAGCTGCAAAATACAAAACTTGCCCCACTTTAAGCCACTGTCAAGAAGACGCCACATATTCAGCAAATATTTTGAAGGTTCTACTATTGAAATGAAGGTTTATACTTACCAGTGGCAGATTCAGTGATAAACATTAAAAAAAAAATTATCAGAGTCATTTTCTTGAGTTACTTCTCACTTCTTCTCCAGAAAAATGAAACTGAATTGTTCTTGCTTGTTCTGAAAGCCTAAAAAAACCACACACAAATTATCACAAGTGCAGTGAAACAGATTCCTTTGAGCATGTAAGCAGTGTAACTATTGCTTGGGACTGAAGAGGGCTTTCCAAATGGACAGTTACACATTTTTATCATAACAGCTATTTTCATACATCAGGTAATCTATCTAGACTTTTCTTGGCAAGTTTATTTTAAGTTTAGAAAGCACTGCAGGATTTTCTTCCTCTGTTTTCTTGTTCACTAGATGTATTTCACATTTCTGATTAAACTGACAATCTTATAGAAGCACTTAAACGTAGATCCCAAGTCAGTAGACACCTACCACAGGATAGGACAGTGCTTTTTTTCTCCACAAAGAGTATAAACTTTGCAAGACTGGACCTTGTAGAAACAGCTAGCAGAAACTCCCCTTGCCTTCAGTGAGAACAGCACAATGTTGATAGATTGGACATCTTGATGGCTAATTTTCAGCTTGTTGGAAAACAATGAGATGTACAATTTTGTCTTACAATTTTGTCTATAGAACCAATATGCACCAGCTGAGAGGGCTAGCGTTTCCACTGAGGGAGATGAGATGAAGAAGCTCAAATTCAACTGCTTCATAGGTAGTCAACTGTGCTTTCAAAGGCAAATGAAAACCACTGCTAAATAACACCAGTGTGGAGTATGTTCCTGAGATTCCTCAGAACGGCGGGTTAACTGACCACCAAAGGCAGAGCCAGTCCTAAGACTGCACCTCAATTTTGCTTATATAGCAGACAGATTAGGTGCATAATAAGCTCAGTTCAATCTCTGCAACCTTGCTTAACTACTGACCCAAACATGCACAGACAAATGAGACATACACACATGAGATGTATTTCACAGAGAGCTGCCAAAAGAAATCTCATTAACATTCCATTTCTTTGGTTTTATTACCTAAACCTCTCTCAGTTTGAGAAAGCACATACTTACTGTTGTAAGACACTGCCCCGAGTTTTACAGTCAGAAATTTCCTGTGATCTATAGTGGCCAGAGGCAGGAGGCTACTGCATTTCCAGCAATATTCCAGAATGACATCGAACTGTGTAGCTGCTCTCCCTCTCTTATCGTTCTCCCCCAGTTCTTTATGAGTATGTCATCATCCCATAAATCACTGTAAGGAGATGAAGAAAGTGTTTCACATCCCTTTTTTCAGACTGACTGGTAGGCAGATCCAGATTTAGAAAGCAGTTAAAAGAAGTTGGATGCTGAGTACTGCAACAAGCAACTTTAAAGGGTCATCCAGCAAACTCGTCAGACCTGGTTTCAGTTCCCTTCTACACATGGAGATTCAAACTGCTACACTTTACAAGGGAAGAAGGGCCTCTCTCTTTATTTTCATTTCTTGAATTTACTTTTCATTTTTCACCCTATCACATCCAGAAGAAATACAGCTGTTACAGACCATGAAACTATGATCCACTACATAAAGATAAAATCATTTATCACTGGATTTTTAATTTTAAATCCCATTCTTTGTTGGCACATCACATCAGCACACAGTTGAAGCTTTGCTGAATGCAGAACAGAGCCCTCCGTTCTTTTAACAGGGATTAAAGAACACATTGTAATGCAAGCTACTTAGTAATAACCAGGTTTGGGATTACTGGCTACTATTAACAAGCAAAACACAGGTCCTCGATCTTACTCTCACATTGCTGTTGACCTGATCAATTTGTCTGAAATTGTTCTACTCCAGGCTAACAGTACATTTGAGCCATATGGTTTGCATACTCTTCAATGAAACACTAGGCAGAGGGAGGGGGTGGGGGGGAAGAAAGATAAATGCTTTTGGTGAAACTCAGCTAGTATAAAGAGATACTTCAAGGAACAGAATAAGATTTTTAATTTTCAGAAAGAAATGAAGAGTTATTTTAAAGTAAAGGCAAAGATGCTCTGCCTAACAAAGGAGTATAGAAATACTCAATGGGCAAAATGCTAAGGCAATAATGGGGAATGGCAGTTTCAGTGAAAAAAGTATAAAAAAACCAGTTGTCTATAAGGCCCAAAGTGACAATAGCTTTAAGCATGTTTTTCAAATTTCATACACGCTTAAACCCACTGATGGAATTCTAATAATAAAAAATGGTTCTTAAAAATCACTGTGCCATTGTGAAGCCGACAAAATCTTTAAACAAACTGAAGGTTTAAGTTCTGTAAAATGCATTAATGATACCTTATGAACTAGACAATTGTGTGTATTTAAGCATCGTTATAATTATTCCTTATTTTCCTAGAATCACCAGAAGATTTTGGAATGAAAGGGGGCTGACACGTCAAAGTGATCTTCAATTTTGGTCAAGTAACTCATTTTGATCAACGCTTTTGGAAACCTGAATTTGGTCCCAAAGGGTTGTGACTTCCTTTTTTTAAAACCAACAGATTCTTCTGAATGTCAGACTGTCTGAACAGACATTTTAGGGTCAAGGGAGGGAAGCACTAATCTTACCTCTTTAAGAATGGCTTCTTGCAGAATTTAAGTCTTTTTCAAATATCACCACACAGTGCCATAATTTGAATAGGATTCATGAAGAAAACAAAAGGATCTAGCAAACAGTTGCCTTAACCATACTAGGTCCAAGGACCATTCTGCCAGGATTGCAATTTATTGGTAAAAATGAAAATCCATCTTCATTTCAAACAATGTTAAGTGAAGCCGTTTACTTACTATGCAAGTCTTGCCAGGTGGAAAGCTGATGCAGTAGTAGTCTTCCAAACTCCAGAGAGTTAGAATTTGTGCTTATAACTCTTCTGAACCTCGTTCATCACTGAAACAGAGAGTGATCTCTCTCAGTAAGTGAGTCAGTACAAAGACAGCTCAGTCTGAAAAACCTCCTGAAAAAGGAAGAGTGGAATTTCTCACTTTGTGAACTGCAGGGAGGAAAACAGAAAAGGTAGATGTGAGAAATTAATTTTTACTAGCATTAACGGAAAGGCAATAGGAAATTACGAATATTAACTTTTCTAAATGAGGTATTTGAGGGCAGATACACCAATGTTTTAGGCATCATCTTTTGCTGGTACCATCTACAACAGCACTTTAGGAGCCCGCCCTGCTCCCAAGCCACCGAGGTGTGAGGGAAAGGGCCGGGGGCAGCCCGGGGAGGGCGACTTTGCAGTGCCACCGAGGGGCTGTGTGTTGAAATAAGCCCTTTTCAGAGCTAAACGATTTATGACATCTCTCCAACAAGGGAAAAAAAGTATATCATGGGCCCGGGAGAGAGTCGGAGAGTGGTGCCCGGGCCGGGTGGGAACCGCGGGGGCAAGGGAAGTGCGGCAGAGACAGGCAGGGCTGAGGGAAAAGGCAAGGCTGAGGGGACAGGCAGGGCTGAGGGGACAGGCAGGGCTGAGGGGACAGGCAGGGCTGAGGGAAAAGGCAGGGCTGAGGGAAAAGGCAGGGCTGAGGGAAAGGCACGGCTGGGGACAGGCAGGGTGCCCCGGAGTCGGAGCCGCGGGGCCGGAGGGCGGTGGGCTGGCGGGTCGAAGCGAAGGACCCCCCCACGCACGGCCGCAGAGATGCCCTCATCAGAGGCAGACGCTCGGCTCCGAGGGAGGAAGGAAAGAGCCGCCCGCGCCCGGCCCTCGCCTCCCCCCCAGCCCGCCTGCCCTTCCTCTTCCCTCCCCGGCCCTCCCCTGGCCGTCCCGCTGTCCCCGGGCCCTACCTGGCCGGCGGGAGCCCCGGGCCGGGCCGGGCCGGGCCGCTCCTTCCTCCGGCGGGCTGCGGGGAGCCCGGGCGGGCGCTTCCCGGTTTCGCTGGAAAGAAGCCGGAGCGGGGAGTGTGGCCGGGCAGCGGGACGGAGAAGGCAGGTTGAAGTATTTTACCTTGGCTTCCCAAGGGTGCTGGGCTGGCAGCCCGTCGTGGGTGAAGGCCAGGGGTTCCCCCCCCCCCCTCCGCCGCGAGCAAAGGGAGGGAAAATCAACCTTTATTTTTTTTTAGGGGAGGGGGTTCCTGCCTCTCACAACCTTCCGGCGGGGGGGCGGAAAGGCCTAAGGAGGTGATGTCTTCGGTTATCTTTAGCCAAAACACCTCTTCCTCCGCTTTTCTGCTGAATGCCGGTTGCAGGACTCTTTTCCAAGAAGCGTGATGGAAGTAGGATGGAGGTTTAGGAACACGTATATTGAGCTAAATACAGCAACTTTTTTCTCTTTTACAAGTTCCTCCCCGCCCCCCCCCCCCAACGTTCATTGCCCATTTTGAGAACGACGACGTGCAGAGATAAACAATATCCTGAAAGGCTGATATTCTGCAAAGACCACAAAAGAAAGAAAAAGAAAAAGAAGAAAAAATAAGAAATGAAAACCCCCCAAAGCATTACAAACTATGATCTGCAGGAACAGAGACAAGGCAAAACACGTGATTCTGCAACACTTTGATCAGATATGTCCCGATTTCAGTGCTATTTTTTTCTGTGATAGCATCCCCTTTGGGGAGAGAGTAATGCAAGCTTTCAAGACATGAAACATTTTATAGCTCCATTACTGCAAAGGGAGTGTATGTATTCACTTCTAAATAAGCCCTCATGCCAGTAGCTGAGCCTGCTTTTTACAAAACGTTGATGTATTTGAACTGTGGTTCCATTAGGGATTTCTGACAGCCGTATTTCCTGTTTAAGTACTGTTCCTGAGTAAATTAATGCTTGCCACTGTTTATTTCACATGAATGGTTTCTTCGATATGTACTGTGCAATGATTCACTGTACATTTAAATAAAGTTATTTTGATAGCAGCAGGAAAAAATTCATCCCCTCAGGATTTCTTTTATTTTCATATCACCCTTTTCATGTTCAGAAACTTGTTTGGTGACAGCTACCCTTTTTTTTTTTTTCTTACCCAGGACAGCTGGGAACGTAGAAGTTCCCAACAGAAACAGGAGGTGTCACTTCAGAGGTAAAACAAGCAGGTTACACTAAAAAAGGAAGGATTCCACAGAGCTGGCTTTTTTGCATATTTTACTGCTGTGGTGAAACAAAGAAACCCTGGAGAGTTTTACTGTCTCACCTCATTTGTTTTCCTCATCACAGATTGAAACAATTGTATATAAAAGCAACCAGATCATTAGCTAACATAAATCAGCATAACTTCAGGAAAGCCAGCTAAGAATCTGACCCAGTATAGCTACTTTTAAAAAGTGTACAAGATACTTTGCGGTGGTTTTGGGTTTTATGATTCAGTGCCAGATTTTAAACTTAGAAGAAAGTAGATATTATAAAGAGGATAATGATTTTACATGAGAGTCTGAAAGAAATATAGCAGCCAACAAATAAAATGGTAAAGTACAATGTCACCGGCTTTTTACTTTGACAGGCTAAATCTTGCTAGTGACAGTTTGGAAACATCTATTTTTTTTTTAAATTCACTCTTTTA